AAAAAAAAAAAAAGAAGTCAAAAGCATGTGCCACCTACTTTGAAGGTGCCTCTACACTACTATATATAGATAACATTGCGGACTCTGTGAGTATAAGTTCTTTGAGAAAAGAAGTGCCACACTTGTTTTTTTTTTGTTTTTTTTTTTTTTTTACCTCTCAGAGATCCTAAAGTACGCTAAATATTGTAATTTAGGTGATCCATTCACTTAAATTGTTTTTCAAAAAAATTCTCTATTGATAAGATTTAATGGATAGAATTGATACATAATCATTATAAGTGCTCAGCCCACTATAAAGGAATATGTGGCTGACAGTGCTAGCTATCCACCACAATCCAGTCTCCCTTCTTCCATAGTATCTGGATATATATATGCTCAGTCACACTATATTTTGCAGACTTCTTTGTAAACAGGTGTGGCCAGAAGACTAAGACCTTCCAACAGAATGTGGATGAAGTGATGTATGCGCATTCTAGGCCTACTAGCCAATAAAATCTATAATTGTTTCTCCATGCTCTCTCCGGTTTCCTATGAATGGTAATGGCAATGAAAGAGCATCTTGGAAGCCATGTTTTGAAGATGACAGGGAGTGCTTCAGCCTAAGGCCCTGAATAATCTCATGAACGAGAGCTGCCTACTGACTTAAATACTTGCTCTTCTGTTTATTCCTTTGAGGAAACTTCTATTGTGTTTAAGCTATTACCTATTTGAGGTTATTTGTGTTAGCAGTCTAGCATCCCTAGTTAATATAGTGTGCTCCTAAAGGATTTTTTTCAATGATTCCCCCACTGTCTACAAAATAAAATTCAAACTCCTGACCTCTCCCAATCTACCTGATATTTTTCCTCTATCTAGTTAGCTTCATTCACCCTACATTTCTAAGAAACAAAACATGGTTCTACATACATTCTATGTTTACCTCTATCTGTGTTTGGTTACACTGATGCTTCTGCCTGGAACATTCTTTCATTCCAGCTCCATACATCCAAAATTCACCAATTATCAAGACCTACAAATGCTACCTCTTCCATGAAGTCTTCTCGGATTCCTCCAGATGAAAATAATTTATCCCTATGATAAATCCTGATAGAACTTTACATTTCTTTAATAGTTTGTCCCACTTGCTTTTTATTTGCCAATGAATATGTTTTAATACTTACTCGTTCGTATACTTTCAAGGGCAGGATCCTTATAGGATTCATCTTTATATAGTCTTAAGCACCTAGCACAGTATCTTTTACTGAGCAGGAATGCAATAAACACTTGTTAAATGTAAAAGAAAAATGAAGTAATGAAATATCAATTCTCTTAAGTATTCCCGCTACCATCTACTTAGATTAAAAATAAGCCCTTATCAATCTCAGCCCAACCTTTCTTATCACAATTTTCAAATAGAGCTATATTTGATATGATTTTACCATTTGGAATATGTACACAGATGGGCTCATACTGAAGTCATACCTGGCAGTATCCAATTTTGGGATTCCTGTATGCATAAGCAGTGAGTACCCGCCTCAGAGCAGATATGCCAGTGTCACTCTGAAAGGCTGGGTGTTCAGGCAGGGAGCGACGCAAATCACGTTCAATTTCTTCAGTAGCCAAGTTGCAGGTCCCTAAGGACTGCTCAACCACTTCAGCATAATAGCCAGGATTAGCAGCCATTTCATTAACAGCACCTGTAAAGACGACTGCATTAACATACAAAAGAAGAGGAATGTAATAAGGCCAACACTTGCATATATACATAAAGAACTGGATAACCTTTAAATTTAGCTTTATACTCAATTAATATCCTAGTACAAACAAAAGAAAAGGCTTCACTAGAATATAACATCAGGACACCAATTTAAAAAATATATTTATTTATTTTTGAGAGGAGGATGTGAGGGAGACAGAATCCAAAGTCCGTGCAGAGCCCAAAGCGGGGATCGATCTCACAAACTGTGAGATCCTGACCTGAGAGGACACTTAACGGACTGACCTACCCAGGCACCACCCCCAGGACACCAATTTTATCCAACAGAATTTTCATAAACTGTTTTTTTTCCCTTAACTTTCCTTTGACACTAGAGCTAGAGATATTACCAATTAGCCATATCTTGCCTAATAAACTAATTTGCTCAGACAATGGATGTGTGGATATATAAGTAAGTACACATAACTACCTTATTCTCTTTGACTAGTCTGAACTCATGAATAAAAGTTTGTTCTAGCCATCTTTGTAATTGTTTTTACTTAGTGCATAACTCCTAGAAGGGGCATGGCTAGTATCTGTTAGTAAAGTGAATAAATACCTGAAAAAAGCATCCACAGCTCTCCTCTTAAGGTCTCTGGAATCCCTCTTACAACCAGATCTCGAGTCTTTTTGGTCCGAAACATGCTAACCCCACGCCCACATTCTGTAAACAGGATGTTCCATGACTGTTCCTTCATTTTTTCTTTCAACTGTAACAAAAAATCAAAGCAACTAAACATGGTGACAAATGAACTTCTTTCAAATAACTTGAAAACTCTCTGCACTGTGAAGTAATACCCGTGGAAATCAAGAACAGAGAAAGTCAAAATCAGTATTCACAGAGAGGCCAAACACTGGAGCACTGTTCACAAATCTTTCAAATCCACGTGAGTCTAATAGATGTATTTTACTATCTTAATTCTTACCTAAACTCATATAAAAACGGGAAAAGCATTACACTTCAGAGGTAAAACTTTGAACCATTATTCTCCCCCACTCACCTCAATTTTAGAATTATTGGCAATCTATGCATATAAAACATGATGTTCAATTTTCATCGTTTATCTTAATTCTTGTTAATAGCCCTTTTTTTTTTGAAAATAGCATTTTTATGTGATGGAATGAAATAAGTCACACAGTAGTACCTGCTGGAAAACCTTATCAAGCACCAAAAGAAGATTTCAGTTGTGGTACCTTCTAGTCTGCTCTAAGATTTTTATTTTTGATAAACTGTTTCAGTCCATAGATTTTAGTATTTTGTTTTCCTACCATTTTGGAATTAAGATTCTCCAAATTCTGAGGGTGAAATACTGTCATTAAGGCTTCGGTGTTCACAGTTTTACTGCATTCTCTCTGACATGTCAAAGACTGTACCTCAATATTATCGGATGGGTCTGTAGAATCAGAACTAATAGGAACCTAAAAAAGAAAAAATGTAATTGTCCCAAATGTATGCTTAAAAGTTTCTTCAAGAAGAAAAAGTGCTCATGTTTTATCTATCATTTATAAAGCACAATCTGTCTACATAATAAATATTGAAGCAATGTCTCAGAGAGACATTGTTTTTCTTTTGAAATTAGAGATAGCAAGAAATTACTGTCTGGAACAGCAAACTCAAGACTTCAGTGAGCCCACTCCCCTGTAAAAACAAAATATTGGCAAAGAATTTTAAAAAATACAAGTTCAGAACACTGGAAATGAACCAAAGGCACAGAACGAACTGAAAAGCAGAGATACAACTAAAACTAATGAATCTCAATAGGACATCAGACTCTGTGAAGTTTTAACATGAGACTATTCTCATCATCCCTCCCTCCCAAGCTCAGAGGTATGGTAGCCATGAAAGCCTGCATTAACACAGCCAAAGGATCTTCTGGAGCTTCACTAAAATCCCCATCCCCAGAACACAGTCAATATTTTAACCAGACTAGCAGCTCCCTAGAAAATCCCCATTCTCAGGGTATTGTTATCATTTGATTTAATTCAGAACTCAGGTCTGTGAAAAAAGCCCAGTCCCCAAGGCATTACAGATGCCTAAGGCTATGATTTCAGTTTGGGGGAAACTGGAGCCTGGCTAAAAATCTAAAAGGAAGATCTAGATAACCATAGGGAACTTTGAAAGATTCTAACATATTCTTGGGGATCTAGAAGTACGTGTAAAAGTACAGGGGTGTGAAACTGGCCAGGAAAGAAACGGGACAGGGGAAGGCCCCTTTGCTCAATTCTGGCCTATTTTAGAGGTAAGAAGTGAAAGATAAGGCTGATTTAAAAGCTTCCAGAAGTTTGAGGTATACCTTCACACAAAGATTTCCTTTGCAAAAAGTAGAAAACTTAATGGTTCACAGCATTTAAGGAGCTCACTGACCCATCACTGGCTGGCCACTAATTTATACTGACTAAAGGGGGTAATCAGAGAAAGCCAGGTTTAAAAATAAAAACAGGAACTATTTTTAAAAAGCAACCAACAGAAAATGTCTTTGAGAGGGCCCAGTTCCTAGATTTTGTAAACTAAGAATGTAAAGTAGCTATTATAAATATATTAAAAGAATGAAAGGAAATTATGTTTAAAAAAATAAGGACCCACTTAAAACGTGGGCAAAAGATCTGAATATAGACTTCTCCAAAGAAGATAAAAAGATGACAGACAAATAATCATATTAAAAAGATGTTCAATATTGTATCACTAGGGAATTGCAAATGAAAAAAAACAATGAGATACTACTGGCTATTAAAATGGCTAAAATCCAAAACACTGACAAGAACAAGTACTTGCTGCTGAGGATATGGAAAAAGAAATTTCATTCATTGCTGACGGAAATGCAAAAATGGTACAGCCACTTTGGAAGATGGTTGGCAGTTTCTTACAAAGCAAAACATAGCCTTACTATGATATGATTGAGGAATTGTGCTCCTAGGTATATACCCAGCTAGTTGAAAACGTATGTCCACACAAAAACCCACATATGAATGTTTATAGCAGCTTTATTCATAGTTGCCAAAAACTGAAGGCAACCAACGTATCCCTATTAAAGGTGAATGGATAAACATTGTGGTATATCCAGACAATGAAATATTTTTCCACAATAAAAACTATCAACAAAACATAAAGAAATTAAAAAATCTGAACTTACTAATAACATGTAAGGACACTGAATCTGTAATCCAAAACCCCCCACCAAATAAAAGTGCTGGATCAGATAGTTTCATGGGTGAATTCTACTAAACATTTAAAGAATTAATGCCAATCCTTCTCAAATTCTTCCAAAAATCTAAAGGGGATGGGAACAATCCCAAACAAATTTTACAAGGCCAGAATACCCAATACTAAATCCAAATAAGAACACAAGAAAAGAAATTATAAACCAAAATCCCGATGAATAGAGATGCAAAAAATTCTCAACATCATACTAGCAAATCAAATTCAATAACACTTTAAAAGGATCATACACTATGATCAAGTGGGATTTATCCCTGGGAGGGAAGGATGGTTCAACATACACAAATCAATAAATGGCATACATCACATGAACAGAATAAAAAATAAAAAACATGATCATCCCAAAAGCCATCAGACAAAATTCAATGTCCTTTCATGATAAAAACTTTCAACAATGTGGGTATAGAAGACACATACCTCAATATAATAAAGACCATATATGACAAGCCCACACCTAACATCATGATCCATGGTAAAATGTTGAAAGCTTTCCCTTTGAGATTAGGAACAAGATAAGCCAGCCTACTCTCACCACTCCTATTCAAAATAGTACTACAAATCCTAGCTAGAGCCATCAGTCAAGATAAAGAAATAAAATGTATCCAAATAGGAAAGGAAGAGGTAAAATTGTTTCTGTTTGCTGATTAAAGGATTTTGTAATTGCACCAGCATTCTTCTCGAAACTAGAACAAGCAATCCTA